GTGCTTTAGTCTTCCAGCTGGAACCAGAAGCATGTGCTGTTCTAGCTTTCCTTCTGCTTTTAAAATTAACCCTGGTGGAGCTGGTGAGATGGTTTAGCGGGTGTACATGCAAGGCCAGTCTAATGACCTTAGTTTGATCCCTGGAACTCATGTAAAAAAGCCGGATGCACTGGCCTACATCTGTAATCCCAGCACTCCTATGGCAAGACGGGGGAGGGAGACAGGAGAACCGCTCCTGGGTACCAGCATAGCAGAGACAACCTCAATAAGGTGGAGGGGGGCAGACCCCCGAAAGCTGTCATCTCACCTTCACAAGCATGCCACGGCACATGAACCCCATAGTGTGTGTCTCTCTGTCTGTCTGTCTGTCTGTCTGTCTGTCTCTCTCTCTCTCTCTCTCTCTCTCTCTCTCACACACACACACACACACACACAATCACAACTGAAAAAAAACCGAAAACAATTTAAAAACTAACCCTGCATAGTCAGATCGGCGCTACCATGTTTTCACTAGGTTGTATCTAATGCCTCATGTAAGAACGATGTGCGCCTTTTTACCACCTGCAGAGTCTGTTAGATATGCTGCTCATTACCATTATATTAAAATTGACATGACTAAACTTGCATGGACTGAGAGCCCACATTCTCTCCTAAAAACCTATCATGCTGTGTTTTGTTGTTTTGTAAGACAGGTCACAAGAGTATATAGCTCTGTATGTAGCCCATGCTGTCCTAGGAGTGTGTAGCCCAGGCTGGCTTGAACCTGAGGCAAGCTTCTCCCAAGAACTGACATTACAGGTGTGAGCCACTATACAGACTGTCCTACTGGTTTTGATCAGGTAATAACTATCATAAATTGGTATCTTTCTAGAATTTGTTCAAGTATACTTGTGTCATCAAACCGTACCGAATTTTAATGCTTAAGCACCGCTACTCTTCCCCTTGATCTGAAGGTCGAATTTCTCCCTCACTGTCTTTCCCTTGGTGCTGAGGACTTTAAATCCTTGGAGTGAGATAGGCGTACCAAGAACAAAAGCTGGGTAAATGCAACAGGGTCCCAAGCTTACTTATGAGTAGAAATGGAAGTACCTGTGAACTACCCACAGATTTATCAAGGAAGAGAATAAAGAGCAGGAGAGAGAAATCTAGTGGTTTGCCTGATAAATGTGCTTTGTCTGGTGGCTTAAAGGTGACCTCCAACACAACAATTAGAAATTAGCCTCTGTCCACAGCTGGTTTCTCCTCCCCAGTCCTGTCCCTCTAGATTTACTTGTTGAAGCCCTGCCTGTGAGGAACTCTCAGGCTTCAGGAGACAGATGCTGGAGTGACAAGGGGTGGCTCATATTTATCAAAGCAAATACTTAGTGCCACTGCCCTGTTTCTGTCCTATATCCCACAGAGAAAAGTCACAAGGGACACATTTGAGCACCAGAGTTTCCTCAACACTGAATAATTCATTCAAAATCTATTGAGTTGCATGAGCCTTAAGCTTAAGAATTTCAACAGAAATCTGGGTTCTGGTTAGGCAGCATCTTTTAGTTTCAACAACTACCTCCAGATCTCAACGACCCAGATCCTTCAAATACCCACATGGCATTACGCTTTTATCAAATCCCAAATAAGCCACGTTTGTTTTAATATTCCAACTTGAAATGTCATCACATTCAGCTACAGCACAGTCTACACTGGTCCTCTTGGTTCCACTGTTTCCCTTTACACATTTTATTTTGGGATCTTTACAGCCATTATACACTGGCATACTTCCTCAAGGTACCACTGCAAAGGCTTAGAGCAAAGGACAAACCTAAGTGGAAAACAAAAGACAATCTACTTGTCAGCGTTTAATACAATTTTTTTTAAGCGGCATCTCACCCATTTGGGGAAACTGGTCTTCTCTAAGCAGTCCAACACCTGCCCCTCACCTGACATCACAGAAGGGAGTTTGCACTGTAGATGTTTTGAACAAGTGAGCATAGCACAGAGGGGCAGGAGAAGAGGGCTGGGGGCACAGAGGTGGGGAGTGGGGGGCTTGTCTTATTTTACTTGCTGGTCTCCAATCTTCCCAGCTTTTTGAAAAAAGCATCTTCAAACATCTTTCTGCATGCACTGCAGATTTCTGGCAGGGCAACTTTGTCCGATTTCAAAAGCTGTGCTGAATTTGAAAAACTCCAATTACCACTTTCATCCTGTCATGTCAGAGTTTTAGAACTATTAGGACTGTTCTTTATTCCCAGTGCACACTGACTCGGACATGTTTCCAGGCTCCGATTTGGCAGTGAGTCACAAAAGGCACTACATACACAAAAGGCAAGTACTTGGCCAGGTCTGCCCAGAGCTCAGGATTAAAACTCAGTGGTTCAAACCTGTGGCCTGGTTTTCTTAAGGCAAGAACAAATACTTTGCTACATAATATTTTATCTAACTCTACATTTTTTTTTCTCTTAGCAGGATTATCTCACTGGCAGCCAGAAAAATGTAGCTACTTTCAGTCTACTTTAGCAAAAAGAGAATTGAGAATATAATGAAGTATGAGACCTTTAAATATTTTTTATTTTACAAAGAAAACTGCAACTATCTAATGATGAACACCAAATGGTTTTGAGTTTTAGTAAGATTTAAAAAATAAAACAGCCGGGCGGTGGTGGCACACGCCTTTAATCCCAGCACTTGGGAGGCAGAGGCAGGTGGATCTCTGTGAGTTCGAGGCCAGCCTGGGCTACCAAGTGAGTTCCAGGAAAGGCGCAAAGCTACATAGAGAAACCCTGTCTCGAAAAACCAAAAATAAAAAATAAAAAATAAAACAGCGGGAGTAGTGGTGCACACCTTTAATCCCCCAGTACTGGGGACGCAGAGGCAGGTGGATGACTGTGAGTTCCAGGTTAGCCAGGGTTACACAGTGAGGCCCTGTTTCAAAAAGAAAAAGAAGAAAGAAAAGAAGAAGGAAGGAAGGAGGGAAGGAGGGAAGGAGAGGGAGGAGAAGAAAAGAAGAGGAGGAGGAGGAGGAGGAGGGAGGAGGAGGAGGAGGAGGAGGAGGAGGAAACAACAGGAAATTGGCCCCCAAACAAATCACTGCACTACAGTCTGATCTGCAACACAGAGAAAAACTTCAGATCTTTTTACCCTGTTCTGCCCAGTGAGCCAGGTGACCCATTTCTTTCTCTATGTAGCTCTGGCTGTCCTGGAACTCACTCTGTAGACCAGGCTGGCCTCAAATTCAGAGATCCTCCTGTCTATGCCTCCAAGAATGCTGGGATTAAAGGCGTGCTCCACCATGCCCAGCTTAGGTGACCCATTTCTCTACAGGGTCATGTTAGAATAGTATGGCACCTGTATATAATAACTGGAATTTTAAAATAAAGAGTGTGTG